ACCGCCGGTCCCCCGCGCGGTCAGCGCACCTGAGTTCCACATTTTACCTCATTTGATCTCAACAGTGTGGTTAATGGGAGCGTGAAAACAGGTGGGCAGGGGCAAACCAGGCAGGAAACTTCTCCAAGTGCATGACTTTTCACGGAAAACTAACGAATAACTGTTCGGAAGCCAGCGCTGACATGAAAATCATTAAATTTAGGAACTGACCCTCGAATCCAGATGTTGGGAAACTGTACGTTGCAAACAGCGCGAGCAAGCGGATCTACTATTGCTGCTGCACCTTTCATGAGACCTAAGGCCGGATCAAGGATTTCCCGCACACACGCTGGAAGACTCGGTATGAAAAAAGGGTGTAAAACATACCATTAGTCGTTTTTTTAAAATGTTGATTACGTCTTGAAAGAACATTTTGGATGCACAGGGTGGAATGAAATTTTTAAAGTAACCCGCGTCTTCTTTTCTTTAATATGCCTTTTGGAAAACTTTAAACCCTGTGTGGCGTGTGTTCTGTTTCTATTGGGCTCTGCGTGTGTCACTCTTTACCTCTGGACGACTCTGTGGTGGGACTATTCTTGGTGTTTTGTACAGATAAGGAAACTGAGGCAAAAGAGTGAAAGGCACAAGGGCCGGAGTCACATCTCGACTCTGCCGCTCACGAGCTGTGTGACTTCTGGCAGAGGCTGTACCTCTCTGTGCCTGTGCTTCAGCCTCTGCGAAACGGGGATGATGCACCAGCCTCTCGATTAAGGGAGTGAATTTGTGGGAAACCTCAGCACAAGGCCCACGTCACCGAGGCACTGTGTGTGCACGCGATGACAGACGCATGTTTCTAGTTGGATCCCTCTGGGCCTGTCCGGAACCCGCGGGAACCTCCCTCTTTCCTCTCTCCTGACCCCTGTTTTGTACAGATAAGGAAACTGAGGCAAAAGAGTGAAAGGCACAAGGGCCGGAGTCACATCTCGACTCTGCCGCTCACGAGCTGTGTGACTTCTGGCAGAGGCTGTACCTCTCTGTGCCTGCGCTTCAGCCTCTGCGAAACCGGGATGATGCACCAGCGTCTCCATTAAGGGAGTGAATTTGTGGAAAACCTCAGCACAAGGCCCACGTCACCGAGGCACTGTGTGTGCACGTGATGACAGACGCATGTTTCTAGTTAGATCCCTCTGGGCCTGTCCGGAACCAGCGGGAACCTCCCTCTTTCCTCTCTCCTGACCCACCGACCTCTTGCCCCACACCCGTTCCCAGGTTCTTGGCTCTGTCACACGCTTCCAGAGCTCGCTGCTGCCCTGGGCAGGAAGTCTCAGCTTCCTTGCCAGGCACTGGGGCCCTGGATTTTCCTGTGGCATTTTTCAAACCCCACCCACACCTGCCCAGGCTAGCCAAAGTCACCGGGACACCCCGAGCTTTTTCAGCTTTTTCACAGCGGCAGGGCTTGGCGAAGGTGGCCCCCTCCCTACGCTCCAGGCAGCCACTGACCGTGTAGACTCCTGCATCCAAATTTCTGCCACAGATTCCCGCTGAGCTCACTGTCTCCCCAGGCTCCCACTGTCCACCCAGTCGCTGGGCCAGACCCTGGTCGCCTGTGCCACCCCCAAGCCTGTCAGTCTCCAGCCTGATCCCTGACTCTGCCCCTGCCTTTTCTCCATCCCCCTGGTCCCAGCCTGGCTCGGCCCTTGTCCTCGCTCGCTGGACCCTCCCCAGCCTCCTCCTTGACCTCCAGTCTCTCTCTTCCAGTCTGTCCCCTTATGGCCGCAGCAGGGGCTTCCTGCATCCAACCTGACCCACGCTCCACTGCTCCCAGCCCTCCATGCACACAAAGTCCAGGGTCCTCAGTTTGGTGAAGACTCACCCAGAGGAGCCAGTGCTCCTGGGGACTGGAGGCGGGGCCACCTTGGCCCCCACAGGGTCAACCACAGCGGGGCAACTGGGCCTCCAGACACTCCCCCCGCCCCACCCCACCCCTGCCCTTCCAGCCCCTCTGCCCACCCTGCTGGCTCACCTGCTCCCCAGGGCAGGGCCTCCGCCTCCTCCTTCGCCAGCCCAGGCACCAGGCAGCGACCAGCAGCGCAAGGGCCGCAGGCAGCAGCAGCAGCAGGAGCAGCAAAGAAGCCTGTGGGGCTGGCAGGGCTGTGGCCGCCAAGGCCAGGGGGCTCACTGAGGGCAGCAGAGTGGAGGAGTCTGAGGGGAGAGAGGAGCCCGGAGTGACCCCAGCCCAGGCACCAGGCAGCGACCAGCAGCGCAAGGGCCGCAGGCAGCAGCAGCAGCAGGAGCAGCAAAGAAGCCTGTGGGGCTGGCAGGGCTGTGGCCGCCAAGGCCAGGGGGCTCACTGAGGGCAGGAGAGTGGAGGAGTCTGAGGGGAGAGAGGAGCCGGTGTGACCAAGGAGAAGGGTCAGGCCAGGCAAAGGCCTTCCTGGTGCTGCTGTGTGACCTGCCTCTCTGTGCCTGTCTCCTGATCTATAAAACGGGATAATCATTATACCTACGTCCTAAGGTTGCCACAAAAATTAAGCGAGTGCAGGAGAAAGAGCTTGGCTCAGTGTCTGGCACACAGGAAGGTGGCATGTTTTAGAACAAATGCTTCCGGTGCTTCTATGTGGATTGGTTTCTTCCTCTTCTTTCCTCGATAGTCCGTGAGCTGCATATGGTGCAAGGACTCTTATCTGTCTTATTTATTCCTAGAACCTCCTACTTAGTGCTCACTAAATATTATCCTATATCAGTGGTCAGCAAACTGCGGCTCTCGAGCCACATGTGGCTCGAGAGCCGCAGTTTGCTGACCACTGTCCTATATGATAAAGAGCTAATATGCTAATTAGACTGGATGGCGGAAAGACCTTCCAGTACCACCAGTGGGTGGGGCCACAGGGCCACGGGGTTGTGAGGCAGCCGGGGCGGCGAGGGCCCAGCCCCTTGCACGAATTTTGTGCATAGGGCCTCTAGTAAAAATATAATTTACAGCCCTAGCCAGTTTGCTCAGTGGGTAGAGCATCAGCCTGCGGACTGAAGGGTCCCAGGTTCGATTCCGGTCAAGGGCATGTACCTCGGTTGCAGGTCCTCCCCAGCCTGACCCCTGATTGGGGCTCATGCAGGAGACAACCAATAAATGTGTTTCTCTCACTCATATAGATATTTCTCTCTGTCTTTCCCTCTTTCTTCCACTCTCTCTAAAACTCAATGGGAAAATATCCTTGGGTGAGGATTAAAAAAAAAAAGCTATAGTAATAGCATATGGATATCCTCAGTGAGGAAGTCTTAGTGTAGTCTCTTCTCTCTGTCATTTGCTTGTTTTTTAAAAAATCTTTCTGCTTCTGATGTCTATCTTTCCATTGGCTTTGAATTCTGGAGAGAAAAGATTGTGTGATTCCTTGACCCTTCCTTCTAAAACAGAGAGAGAGAAACATGGATGTGAGAGAAACACATCCCTTGGTTGCCTCCTGTTCACACCCTGACCGGGGCCTGGGATCAAGCCTGCGAACGAATTAAACTCGTAAGTCAAGGCCCCACTGTATATATAATTTGCAGCCCTGCTGGTATGGCTCAGTGGTTGAGCATCGACCCATGCACCAAGAGGTCACCAGTTCGATTCCAGTCAGGGTGCATGCCTGGGGTTGCAGGCTGATCCCCAGTAGGGGGCGTGCAGGAGGCAGCCCATCGATGTTGATGTTTCTCTCTATTGATGTTTCTATCTCTCTCTTTCTTCCTCTCTCTCTAAAATCAATAAAAATGTATTTTAAAAATGTTGTAAGCCATAGGTTGCATTTTATTAAGGTAACAGTTTTTCCTTATAAAAACAATGAATTTGCACCCTAGCAGGTTTGACCCAGTGGAGAGAGCATTGGCCTGTGGACTGAAGGGTCAGGTCACAGGTTGGATTCCAGTCAAGGGCACGTACCTCGGTTGCAGGCTCAATCCCTGGCCCTGGTCAGGGTGTGTGGGGGGAGGCAACTGATTGATGTGTCTCTCTCACACACCGATGTCTCTATCTCTGTCTCTCCCCCTCCCTTCCACTCTCTAAAAATCAATGGAAAAGTACCCCGGGTGAACATGAACAACAAAAACAACAACAAAAAGAATTTCCCTGGTCAGGGCACATGCCTGGACTGCGAGCTTGATCCCCAGTAGGGGGCGTGCGGGAGGCAGCCGATCTGTTTCTATCCGTCCCCCTCCCTTCCACTCTCTCTAACCCTCGGGTGAGGATTACCAAAAACAAAAGGAAAAAAAAAAAGAAGAATAAAAACCTGGTTGAGCAATTGAATACAGTCATAAATGTAAATACAAATGACAAACAAAGCTCAATATGAGTGAGAAAGATTAGAAATTCGGGGAAGAATTGAGAAAAATCAACCTAGAGTGAGAATTTAAAAAAAAATCCCTCTCAAAAAGAAAATAAATAAACAAACAAAATATCGGTCTCAGAACTTGACAGATCCAGTAGACAAACTTTACAAGGACAGAAAGACTGAATAAAACCATGATAAAGTTGACAGAATATAAATATCCTGAACAAGAGTGAATTTACCTTTTTTTAACTTAAAAAAATATTTTTAAAAAATTGATTTTAGAGAGAGAGGAACGGAGAGAGAGAAACATCAATGTGAGAGAGAAACATTGATCGGCTGCTCTGCACACCCATTATGGGGGATCCAGCACCACAACCCGGGCATGTGCCCTGACCCCTGACCAGGAATCAAATCTGTGACCTCTCAGTGCAGGAGACGACGCCCAACCTACTGAGTCACAGGGGCCAGGGCTTTGTTGTTGTTAATCCTCACCCAAGGATATTTTCCATTGATTTTTAGAGAGAGTGGAAGGGAGGGGAGAGACAGGGAGGGGGACACATCAATGTAAGAGAGACACATTGATTGGTTGCCTCCTGAAACCAAGGTACATGCCCATGTCTGGAGTTGAACCCAGGACCCTCCGGTCTGTGGGCAGACGCTCCATAGCTCCACCCACTGAGCCAAACCGGCCAGGGCTTTTATTTTTTGTAACTTTTAAAAAATGGTTACTAGAAAGTATACACTTCAACAAGCGGCTCTCCACACACTCTTTCCATGGCATGGGGCTGCCTTGGAGAAACAGGCAGGGATTGCCGTCCCTTCTCTGGGATGGGTAAACTGAGGCCCAGAGAGGGGAATGAACTTAGGGGAACATGCCCGAAGGCATGCAGCCCATAGGAGCAGCTGGGGTCTGAGGGGCTTGCAGAGGGAGGCAGGGCTCTGAGGGTGGGGGCGCAGGGGCTGGGAGGGCTGGGAGCCTTTACCCGGCTGACACTGCAGCTCCAGGCACCCAGAGAAATTCCAGCGGGTGATCCAGGGCTTCAAGGCCACCAGCTGCTCGGAGGTGTCCTGCAGGAGGTGGGAGATGTTGGTCTGGACGAAGCGAAGACAGCTAGGGAGGGGCTGGGGGCAGGGGAGGGAGACGTCACCACCGAATCAGCCCCTGCAACTCCTCAGGCCCGGCGCCTTCCCTGCCCAGCAACACCCGGCAGCCCCAGCAACCTGGCCCAGGGAGGCCTGCGTCTCAGAGGGAGCGTTTGGGCCCCTGCTCTCCCTGGTTGCTAGGGGGAAGCATCCTTAGCAACGCCCAGCAACAGGGCCCAGGGAGGTCTAGTCCAGAGGGCATTTAGATCCCCTCCTCCTGGTTGCTAGGGGCGAGAACCCCTTAGCACCGCCCTGGAGCGGGGCCTGAGAAGGAAGCCCAGCATGTGCACGGGGCCAGCTCCCTCGCCATCCTGGGGGCTCAGAGGAGTGCAATTCCCCAGCAACGGGCCTTGAATTGCTCCGGACAAAAGGAATCTCCATCAGGCCGGGCTGAGCTGCGTTCCCCATTCCCTAGGAAGGCATCCCGCCCCCTCACCTGCACCCCAAGTTCAGGGCTGACCTGGAGGGCGCATAAGGTGACAAAGTGTATCTCGGTGTTCACGGCCTCCAGCAGCTTTTCCATCTGGGACCCCGCCACGCTCTTGAGCTGCCCCATCCAGCGCTGGGCCAGCACCAGGCGCCAGAAGGCCCCGCAGAGCTTGTCCTGGGGAGACAGCCAAGCTCTGGGGCCCG